TGTTTTTAATCTTCCATATATGTCCTCTTGTACATGATCCTCGTAATGTAAAACGCCTGTAATAATCCTCTGATTATTTTTAATGTTGTCATTATGTCTACTATTGTATTAATATTGGTAGAATTACCGACAATATGTTAAGTAAAGGGACACAAGTGCAATTAATGCGACATTTTATTGTGGCAACGTTTCGCTCTCCAGGAGCTGTGTCTAGCCGTTACAAATAATACATGAGCACAGAGGGTATATATAGCATTAGTTGCACTTAACATGTCTGTTATTGTCCTCTTGTCTTCCCGGGCCTTCAGACATCTTTAGTCTCTCTTCATAATGTGCTCCTCTTAGCTGTTGGGTTAGTCTAGTAGGAAACCTTTTGTACCTTTTCGAGCTTTGGAACGTTCTTAAGAAGGTGGGTTTTCCAAACTGGTGCTAAGATGGGCCTGACACACATTGTGTTCAGAAAGAATTCCTTGTTGAGATTTCTGACGGCTATTCTGTGAACTGCTAGCCTCGCATAGGTTGAAGTTATACGTTTAGTTAATATGCTCTTCCAACGATATGTTGGGTGTGATGTTTGCTCCTGAATCTTACTTCTCTTGATACCTGTAGTTTCATACCTTCCATTCCGTATTTTTCCTCTGGTCTTGTCTCCGCCTCACCAAATTTCACGACCTTACATTTATTTGGCTTGAACTCCAGGAGCCACTTACTTGACCAGTTCTCTAACACAGCTAGATATTCTCTCGCTCTCCTCTTCTGTTCGTATTCTTCTCAACTGCTTTGTGTCATCTACAAGCAAAAACACATAGGATTCGATCCCAGCTGGCAGGTTATTTACATATATCAGGAAAAGTTGTGTGTGTGTGTGTGTGTGTGTGTGTGTGTGTGTGTGTGTGTGTGTGTGTGTGTGTGTGTGTGTGTGTGTGTGTTTGCAATGTTGGAGTATCCCTGCACGTGCACGTGCGCTTATATGATCCAATGTTTTCTTTTATTTTTTATGGGGCCAAAAATACAAGCTAAGAGCGGTCCCTTCCACTCTTCCAGAGAGCGTCTTCGCCACATCAACACTTCCGAGAACCCTTTGCTGCTAGACGACTGCAAAAATATCTGGCTACAGACGTGGCAGCAGCAGCAGGCAGTTGACCAGCAGACGTGGCAGAAACCACAGCAGAAGGGGAAGACGTGGAGAGAAGAAACCACACAGTCTGTAGAGACTGAGAAACTTGCTGGCAGAGAGAACACAGAGGTCAAACTTGATAACTTAGTGCCTACCTCGACCACAGATGACTGTCCATCGCCGGGAGCGACAACCTCTTCAGAATGTTGTGAGTACTGTTCATCTTCTGTTTACATTCACTGTGTAGATACAAATAGCACCCCCGTTCAGTAGTCATATTACAGATCTAAATACAAATAAGAGTACAGATACAGTAATAATCAACAAGTTATCAGTGTCACTATAATCTCTGTAGACTGTAGATTACTTTTCATTAAGCACTAAACCAATATGGGCTCCTAAACCCCCTCATTCTGTGATCAGTCACGCTTCTTGGTGATAGCATAAATCACTGAAGCCTCTACGTGTGCCCGGCAGATCTGTGTCCTGCTCGACTTAGCGTGGAGGAGACTGAGGAAGGTTCTTGTAAGGTGTTCATGGTGGAATGTTCTGTCAGAGGTAGACCCCGTCCCGAGGTGAGTGTGTGTGTGTGTGTGAAAGAGGAGAGAGAGAGAGAGAGAGAGAGAGCCAACAACTGCCTGCGAGATACCAGGTGTAATTACTGCTACAAGAAAGGACATAAGGAGGATCAGTGTCGGAAGAAAAAGGAACTTGACAGACAGGGCCACCTGTTTAGAGACCTGTTCTCTGAACAAACCAGCAGGATCTCTGAATTGGTGAACACTCTCACACGTCACCCACTTAGCTACTCCTATCCCAGCCCAGCAGGTGGGATTGTGCCTTATACAAGACCACAGACCTACATCCCTGCAGCTGCCTCAGTACCCTACCTCTCTCAAGGGCAGGCACCTTACATTCGCTACACACCCACCACCTCAAGCTGACCACTTCATCATGAGGAGCCAGTCTATCAGCATCCTGTCGGCCAACATTAGAGGTTTCATTACTAATGTTGGAGAGCTCACACCTAGTTTTGTGAACACTCGACGTCCCGACATGATAGCTGTTGTTGAAACATTTTTGGATGACAGGACTCCAGAAAATTTTGCAAGAATTGCTGGCTACACCTCATGGATGAGAAGAGACAGGCAAGGGCAAGGAGGTGTTGCTGTGTGCTTCTCTAAAAGTGTTCATGCCCAGCACATTGATGTTGCCACCCCTACACATCTTGAAATGATGTTCTTCAAGCTCTGTATAAACACTAGTACCTCTGTACTAGCATGTGCAATGTACAGACCTCAGTGGCAACATGAGACCCTATCAACTTCCTAATGGAAAATATTGACTCCCTTCTGCTACAACACAACTGTCAACATATTATAATTGTTGGTGACCTCAACCAGCACCTTATACAGAGGGACTTTGATGACCTTCTTGCAGTGTTTGACATGAGAAACTTTGTTGATTTCCCTACTCATATCTCTGGCTCCTCCCTTCACCCAGTAGTGAGTGATCTGGCAGAAGGCATAGTCACTTGTCAACCCCTCGGCTACGTTGGATCGTCTGACCACAAGGCTGTTTTTACCACACTTAAGATCCCAACAGAACGAGGTGAGGAATCCACACGCACAACCTGGCTATGGGAAAGAGGTAATTGGCCAGCCCTTTGCTCTGAGCTCGCCACCACCGACTGGAATGCTCTTCTCCAAGGGGATGTTGACAACCAAGTGAAAGCCTTCACTGGACACATCCTTAATCTACAACAAGAACACATTCCTCACCGGCAATATGTGACGAAGCCTACAGATCATCCTTGGTTTGGCTTTCGTTGTAGAGAGGCTGCTACTGCTAAGTACAAAGCATGGCGAAGGTATAAGAGACATCCTACCACCTATAACAGGAACTTGCACATGCAAGCCTGTAGGCATATGGGTGATGTTCAAAAGTAGGCCATTGCTAAATGGGAGGTGGACACTAAAAGAAAGTTAGCATCAGGTAGGGTAGGCTCCAAAACCTGGTGGTCCCTGGTCAAAGACAAGGTTATCTGCCTGATGAACTTATTCCACCTCTAAATCGACAGGATGGGACCACCTCTACTAGTAGTCAAGAGAAGGCGGACCTCTTTGCTGAACACTTTGCTACCAAAATGCAAGTTCCTGATCCTGACCCTCCTTGGCTAGCTGCAAGAACTGTGTCAAAACTGTCAGTGGTGACAATAAGGCAGGACGAGGTGCATTTCCTACTTAAATCGCTTGACCAAGAAAAGGCTGTGGGCCCAGACAAGTTGAGCCCAAGATTGTTGAGAAGATGTGCAGACCAGCTAGCAGCACCTCTAACTCGCATCTTTCAGCACTGCCTAGTACAGTGTAAATGGCCCTCTCTATGGAAAGAGGCAAATGTAGTCCCTGTTCACAAAAAGAAGAGCAGAGCAGAAATCAGCAACTACAGACCAGTGTCACTCCTGTCAATCACTGGTAAGATCCTTGAGACAATAATCTCAAGACAAATGACAGAGTTTTTTGACTACCACTCACTACTTTGTGATCGTCAATATGGCTTCAGGAAAGGTTACTCTGCTGCTGATCTGTTGTTAAACCTCTCCACTAAGTGGCACCAGTCACTGGATGAATCCAAAGTCAGCTGTGTGGTAGCACTGGACATTGCTGGCGCTTTCGACCGGGTGTGACACCAGGGCCTCTTAGCAAAACTTCAAGCACTGGGAATTGCAGGCTCTACGCTATGTCTCCTCAGTGACTACCTTCATGGTAGATCTGTAAGCGTAGTTCTCAATGGAACGGAATCACCAAGACATCCTATTGGGGCAAGTGTTGCACAAGGAAGCGTGCTGGGTCCATTGTTATGGAATGTCTACTTCAACGACCTTCTTCATCTCATCCCAGAATCACATGCATATGCAGACGACTGTACACTGACATTCACTTATCCAAGAGAAGAAATGCCAGCTGCTCTAAGCTACATCAATCACCAGCTGAGAGCTATATCAGTTTAGGGAAATAGATGGCAAGTAACATTTGCACCTGAGAAAACGCAAATGATGATCGTCTCTAGGCACCATGATGGTAATGCTGGTGCAGTAGTAAGGATGAATGGGAGGATGTTGGCACCTGGAGAAGAAGTTGATATCCTTGGGGTGAAATTTGACTCCAAACTAACCATGAAGAACCATGTTGTAAATCTTGCAAACAAGGTAGCCAGGAAGCTTACAGCACTTCGCCGTATCTCCCATCTGCTTGACAGTAGGGGTTGCAAGATCCTGTACGAGGCACAAGTACGCTCGCACCTTGAGTATGCTCCACTTTCTTGGTTTGCCTGCCCCCCCCTCTCATCTGCGACTGCTTGACAGAGTAGAGAACAGAGCAAGACGTCTCATCTCTCGCCTGGACCCATCCTGGATAGATCTGTTATTTCAGCAGAGCCTTCAACATAGGAGGGATGTGGGTGGCCTTACTGTTATGTACAAGGCCAATATTGTCAAAATACCACACTTGGATCCACTTCGAGGACAGCGTGAAACAAGCTTTTATGCCACAAGACGGGCAGAAAGCAGCAACTTCACTCTGGCTGTACCCTTCTCCAGAACATCACTCCATCTGAGATCATACATACCCAGGATGACTCGAGTGTGGAACACATTCGTACAGGATAATGATGTCAACGAGATAAAGTCAGTTGATCAAATGAAAATGCTGGCCCACAGATGGCTCCAACTTCATCCTGTTTCCTACTTGTATGTCTCATAACAATAAAAATGCTTTCAAATGAGCTGATGTAGGTAACAGCTCTTAGCTTGCCAATAAAGTTAGGAATCCTTAACCTGTAAATAGCTGTCAATAAAGCTTGGGATCCTTAACCTTGTCAAACCCTGTGTAAAAAAAAAAAAAAAAAAAAAAAAAAAAAAAAAAAAAAAAGAGAGAGAGAGAAAACAATTAAGAGGCGCATGAGTTTCCCGGTCTCCTAATATCATGTTTATTTTCCCCTATAATCTACCTTGTCCATAATTACTATCGCATTTGCTTTGTCTGCTTTCGTGAGGTGAAGTACAGGATCTTTCATTAATTCATGGTATAACTTAACAAGTCTTTGAGGACAATTGTGCTGGAGAAGTCTGAGCAGAGCTCAGACTTCTCCAACACAATTGGGAAAAAAAATAACACATCAGAAGACAGGGAAACTGACGTGCCCTTTAAGCCCGTGTGTTTGCGTGTGCGCGCTTGTGTTGAGTATTAGCACATTTGAGTGTTGCAATATAGTATTAAGTAATAGGTCATAAGGGAAGGGATGAAAAACAAAAATAAAAAATGGTGTGATTCAGGCGCACGCGCGTTTGGGGAGATTATCAAAGTTATCCCGCACCACTAACACTGAAAAAAAAAAAAAAAAACTAGAACGAAAAAAAATAATCTAAATTCCCACCGATGTATGAAGGTGTAATTAAGACTAACGCTGAAGAGTGAACAACTGCGCCACTGGCTAGCAGCTGGCTGTTGGCTAGTGGGACAGGAAAACGCTCAGTGATTTTTTTCTTCATACGGATCGTCTCCTGAGGTAGTGTGACCCATAATATGGAAGAGAATTCACCAAATTAATACAGTGGAACCTCAAATATCGAACTTAATCCGTTCCAGGAGCTAGTTCTAAATTAGAAAAGTCTGAAAATCGAAGCGATATTTCCCATAAGAAATAATGGAAATACAATTAATCCGTTCCAGAAACCCAAAAATATTCACATTATTGTTATTGTTATAATCAATGGGGAAGCGCTAAACCCGGAGGATTATACAGCGCCTGGGGGGGGGATGTGGAAGGCATTCAGGCTTAATTTGGGGAACTGGAGCACAGATCCAATTCCCTAAATCAAGAGCCCCTCACCAACATCAAGGAACCTTCCTTGAGGAAAAAAATAATCACAAAAAAATACATTTTATAGAGATTAATTACAGTTTTACATACACACAACAAACACTATAGTGTTCAATTATTTATATAAATATAAAATAACGTTTTTCCTTGCCTTTATTGAAGATTGGTGATGGCATCTGGAAGATAGGGAGGAGGAGAGAGGGAGTTGGAGTTAGTGTTTGGAAGGAGAATCCCCCTCCATGAGGACTTCAGGTAATGCCCTCTCTGGGGTTACTTCCCTTCTCTGTCTTTTAATGCCACTAGGACCAGCTTGAAAGTCACTGGACCCCTGTCTCACAAAATAACTGTCCACAGTCCTCTGTTTCTGACGCCTCTTTAACATTTCCCTAAAATGGGACATGGTTCTGTCATTGAACTGGTTCCAAGAGTTTTCTGTACCAGATCGGCATGTAACTTCCTTGCCTTTTCGCAAATAATCGTCTCTGAAATACTATCACCTGCCATCTCTTTATCTTTGATCCACACCAGCGACAACTTCTCAACCTCTTCAACTATTTGTGGTCTTTTTTTGGTTAGCATATTAACACCTTTCACAACATCAGTTTCCTTGATTTGTTTTTTTTTTGCCAGGATAGAACCGATGGTCGATTTTTTTCCCATACATCCTGGCAAGGTCAGCAAGTCTCACACCATT